AACAGTTTTTATTAAGCAAAAGTCTTTGTTTTCTAATTAAATACCTTTTATAGTATGTATAGGCACTAGGTATTTTTTTTCCCACGGACCTAGTATGTACTCCGCCGGGCCATGTGTTCCCATTGTTTACCGTGAACTCGCGCGGCTAGCTTCAATTGTGAAGGATATTACTGTACTGTAATTGTGATCTTTTTAATTTACAAAATGCCAAAAGTTACCCAAAGGAAGTGCCTGACGGTTGCACAGAAGCTGGAGTTAATTAAGAAACTTGATAAAGGATATTCTCATGCACGAGCAGCAGCAGAGTTTAACATTCAACATAATTGTCAATAGTGAAGTAGAATTAGAACTCATGTGAATTAGTAGTAAGGCTAGCTGTTGTGTGAAGTGAGTGCCTGAAAATAAGTGTACTGTACATACAGTATGTACCCTGTATACAATATAAACAATATAAAACAAGCGCTGCAGAGGATGACGTAATCTTCACAGCTTCGTAATCTTCAGCTTCATTAAAAGTAAGTCAATTTACCAATTTTATTATAGTATTACAAGATATTAATTGTTTTTTTTCAACAAAAGCTACATATTAGTCTCTGCAAATGTATATTCTATCGTCAGCAGAGAAAAGGTGAGCTCAAAATATTTCGTCTTGGCTAGCTCTCAGTGACAAGGCTCAATCGCCATTGTTATGGCATGGCCGCCACAGCCTGTGTCGTAACATTAAAAATACATTACCTGCACTGTTCAGGGTAAATCAAAACACATCTCTAAAATTTTATTAAGACAATATTAACTCACTGATTGATACATGAAATATTTTTCAATACAAAGGAATGAATCAGTTTTTTCCCACCCATCTGGACTTGATCAGAGCGTGTTCACACATCATCCATGCAGCAACCAGCAACTGGCTTAATCGTCGGCCGTGCACTAATTGGAATGCAATTACACAATGAACTTTATTTAATTTTAGTTATACAGTATAAAATATATCCTACCTGAATGTTACTTGAAAAATTACCCGACCCAACTTAACGTCGGAAATAACGGAGCTCCGTAAATAACGACTTGGGCTCAGCCCCATATAGGCTGTTAAATTGAGTGGATACTGTATTTTCATCAAAATATGGGTTTGTTTTGGGGCGCCTACCTTTCTGGGTGCCTATCCCGGTCGATGGCAGACATAGAATGCTCCCGACCACAAGGGGGGGTTTCTATAGGCCATTGCTCCTCGTGCCTCTCTGAGGGGGCCAGAATCTGGCTCGTGGTCCCCGGTAGGCAAGAACTCCTAGCACTTTGATGCCAGAAAGTTATACATATCCACTCAGCCTGGATAGCTCCGGGAAGCCTCCGGGACTCACCCAGAAAATGGCGTTTCATTACATTCAACGCTGGTTTTTTAAAAAACAGCTCCATCTGTTGCACGTAAGAGCAATACTCACGCTACACTATGGTTATAACGATTCCATTTCAATGTTTCTAATTGCATTGATAAATTGAATTTTCATAGATTTTGATTTATTTTCATTTTGATTTAATCATTTTGTGTGACATTGCATTGGAATTGAGCTGTGTTGTTTACCATACCGTTAATTTCGTGAGTATTGTTTATTTTTCATTTTTTCCATTTTGTTTTTAACTGTTCTTATTTTTCAGTGATGGGAACATCAGATCATTTGATGTTCCCAATTTTCTGATGGGAACATCAGATCATTTGGGAATGCATCAGACGAGGGAGTGGGGAATAGTGGGGAGGATGAGGGGACAGGAGTGGGGGATGGTGGGGAGGACGAGGGGACAGGGGAGGGATAATTGTGGGGAGGACGAGGAGACGGGGGAATTGGGGATTGTGGGGACAACGGGATGGGGTAATGGAGAATGGTGGGGATGGGGGAGTGGGGAATGGTTGGGAGGACGAGGGGATGGGGGCGTGGGGAATAGTTGGGAGGACGAGGGGATGGGGGCGTGGGGAATAGTTGGGAGGACGAGGGGCGAATGGTGGGGAGAACTGGGGGACAGGGAAAGGTTGCTTTGGCTCAGCAACGCACATGCATCGCTGAGCAACAGCAACACGTTGCTGGGTACAGCTAGTATGTATATATAAAATATATATGGTAACTAGCTCATCTTCCTAAACTGCAGAAAAATTTATACAGTACAGTAATATGATATACACTGGAATACATCAAGGCTATTGTGTATACATTTCAATTGGGTCATCAAAATTCACAGGACAAGTGAATCTGTGCTGAGTGGCACCCTAGGTCATCCAGAGCTCCAGCCAGCCTGCCTTCTCACTAACTCTCCTGGTCACAGCATTTGAAGCTCAGAACCTCTTGACAGGACCCATCCTCTTTATGGTTTCACCTACTTGGTGTTGACTATCCCTGGAACACTGGGGATGGGAGGGGAGGGGCGGGGCGGTCATTTGCCCCTCTGCCTGCCACTCCTTCCCTTCTCTTGCCCCATTTTGGGTCCCAGAGGAAGACTTGCAAATTCTGTCCCTGACTCTCCATTTTCATTTAAGAGTCTGTTTTGCATGTTTGGGTAGATTCCACATTTGCATTTATGCCTAGTTGATACTGCTTTGTATCACTAGGTCTATCAATTGTTGGAGTTTCCAGCCCTCTCCTATAGTGCATTATGGGATTTATGGCTTTGTTCTACTTCATTGCAGGTTTTTATGGCCTCATCTCCCACTGAGTTTTCCGTTGGCAGGGCATGCTTTGGATCATGTTTTGAGAATGAACTCGCCTAATTGTACTTGCGGGGGTTGAGCTCTGGCTCTTTGGTCCCGTCTCTCAACCATCAATCAACTGATATGCAGATTCCTGAGCCTACTGGGCTCTGTCACATCTACATCTGAAACTGTGTATGGAGTCAGCCTCTAACCACATCACTTCCTAGTCCTCTAACCACATCACTTCCTAGTGCATTCCATTTACTAACTACTCTGACACTGAAAAAGTTCTTTCTAATGTGTCTATGGCTCATTTGGGTACTCGGCTTCCACCTGTGTTCCCTTGTGCGTGTGCCACCCGTGTTGAATAATCCATCCTTGTCCACCCTTTCAATTCCCCTGAGAATTTTGTATGTGGTGATCATGTCTCCACTAGCGCTTCTGTCTTCCAGCGACGTGAAGTGCAGTTCACGTAGTCTGTCCTCATAACTCATGCCTCTTAGTTCTGGGACATGGATGTGGCCATGTGTCTGTTCAGGATCTATCCCATTTTCTTTCTGGGATTCCTGCTGTTAGGTTATATTGTCTACTGAGCTTTTGGTTTTCTGGGGTGCTTTTCAGTCTGGTAATATAGCCAGAATAATATAGCCTGGTGTAGCCAGAATCCTTTCCCTGCCAGATTCTGTTTCTTTGCTGCATAATGCTTGTGAGCTGTGACATGAGTTCTGGATCCTATGTCCAAGAGTTTTTCCTTGTTTGGCCTGTTTTATGTTTCATGGAAATGAATGGAACCTTTAGATATGGATTCATATCCTTCATGAGTGATTGGTCAGTCTCCAGGCTTGGCTTTCCCACATAGGCTGTAACTTCTGTGGTTCCTTGTGGGCCCTATGATGCCCTGGCTGGGCTTTGCAGATTTCCTTTTTGCCCTTCTGTGTAGGGTGTTTCCCTGGTGCTGATTAGCCTTCATGTTCTGCCTGGTGTGTGTAGCTTTCCAAGTTTTGGTCTGCTTGCTGTGCATGATTTATGTCTAGGATTCTTTTCTGTTTTTCTCCATGTTTGGTAGTTTCTCAGTTTTTTCTGGGGGTTCATCCTCCAATTACAGTCGTTTCTTGCCATAACTGTTCAGTGAGGCTTATGTTTTACCTGCTCATTTTGTCTCTCTTTTCCCATATATGTGCTTTGGGTGTGGAGGCATATGTGGGTTGGGTTCCCATGACTTCTGTGTTTAAGAAAATATCCATGGGTTTGTCTTTGACTTTGTTGTGGTGCTACTCGCTCCATGCAAATATGCTTCTTGGCAGTGTTTCTAGATGTTTGTGTGATGGTTTAGCCCATGGCGCCTGACAGCTGAGCGGACAGCTCTTCAGATTCGTAGTCCTGAGGTTCCGGGCTCGATTCCTGGTGGAGGCAGAGACAAATAGGCAAAAAGTTTTTCACCCTGATGCTCCTGTTACCTAGCAGTAAATAGGTACCTGGGAGTTAGACAGCTGCTACGGGCTGCTTCCTGGGGATGTGTAACAAAAATGAGGCCTGGTCAAAGACCGGGCCGCTGGGACGCTAAGCCCCGAAATCATCTCAAGATAACCTCTCAAGATAAGATGGCTGTGTGCCCGGAGGTTTGCTTGACTGTGTGCTCAGTGGTTCCCCTGGCTGTGCACCCGGTGGTTCCTGTGGCTGTGCCCCCGGTGGTTCCCGTGGCTGTGCCCCCAGTGTTTCCTGTGGCTGTGCCCCCGGTGTTTCCTGTGGCTGTGCCCCCGGTGTTTCCTGTGGCTGTGCCCCCGGTGTTTCCTGTGGCTGTGCCCCCGGTGTTTCCTGTGGCTGTGCCCCCGGTGATTTCCGTAGCAGTGCCCCCGGGAGGTCCGTGGCTGTGCCCCTGGGAGGTCCTGTGGCTGTGCCCCCGGTGGTTCTCGTGCCTGTGTGCTCTGTGGTTCCCATGGCTGTGTGCCCAGTGGTTCCCGTGGCTGTGCGCCCGGTGGTTCACTTGGCTGTGCGCCCGATGGTTCACTTGGCCATGCTTGCCCAATGTTGAAATCTATTTGATATTTAAAGATATAACTTTTTAATTGCAGATTTTTAAGACAGCACTGTATTGGACTGTTCCTGAAGCAAATTAAAAAATTGTCTTAAATTTCCCTTTCATGTATATTGCCATAAAGTTGTAGTGCAGTAATTTTGCTTAATAAAAGTATGTATGCTGAACTTGGGATATTGAGAGCACCTAATATTTCATTTGGCTTAAGACCAGTTTTCATCATGCATGCTCCTCATATTGTCTGTATTGAGTACATGATGCGGTCATAATTGATTTTGTTTGCAGGCTTTGTCAAACATCACTCCTTTACGTAACTACTTCCTCGACCCCAACAACTACAGTCACATCCATCATGCACCAGGCACTCAAGGGTTGGCAATGTTCCCGCTCATCAATAGGTTTGGAGAACTGGTGCGCAAACTTTGGAATCCCAGGAACTTCAAAGCTCATGTATCTCCCCATGAAATGCTTCAGGTAAAAAGTTAATCTGTTCAGTAGTGCTGTAATCCTAAATTTATTTTGTTAGTTTTAAACAGTGTATAGTTAATTACAATACTGTACCAGTAAAGTAAGACTATCACCATAATGATATACCTCTTGGGTTTTACAAAATGAATTCTTTTTCATAAAAAATGTGGAGTTATCACATTTAGTTAGTGTATATGTAATGATCTGCCATGTCATAAGACCTGGATAAATAAATCAGACAGGATGCCATTAGGACACTTCCTGTGGAGGAAATTATATACTGAAAATTTACTCTATTCGCAGCTTCTCTGGCTTCCCTAAAATAATTCATCACAAAAATTTCTAGAATAACTTATGAATAATAAGTTATTCACTCAAATTTGACACAGTATGAGAACTTGTAAGTAGATTGGTATTGTAGAATGAAGACTAAATGGTTAAATCGGTTACTATGAGAGTCCGAGGGATTAGTCTTGTGAACACACAAGTGGTTTACTCTGCAATGGTAAGTGCTCCTAGCCCAGAGTAGACTAGTCATCCATTCCCCTAAAGGAGCTACTGTGTCTCTTTTACGATTATATATTTATTGCTAGAATTAATAATTCTACTGCATCTTTGAATTAAAATATTCTGGGGGTAGCTCCTTCGGCTCCTCGGAGCTATCCAGGCTGATATGTATCTCTTTAGAATTTGGCATCAGTCGATGTGGGCATCAGTTTGGCATCAGCCAGCGAGATCCTGGCCCCTTCAGAGAGGCACGAGGAGCAATGGCCTATAGAAATGCATGTGTGATTTGGAGCATTCTATATCTGCCATCGACCGTGACAGGCACCCAGAAAGGTAAGCGCCCCAAAACAAACCCCTATTCTGGTTAAAAACGATGAAAATAGACAAACGAGTGGACAGAACTTTCTAAATGAAAACAAGCAAACTAGCATGACGTCACACGAGCCCCCATGTCTCTCATGACGACATGGGAGCTGCATGTCTGTGCAGCTCCCCCATCCTCTGGAGGGGAAAGGGAGAGCCCCAGAGCCTCGCGCCGGTGATCCACACCTCCCAGTTCTTGGCTGATGTGTTGCTGGCAAGGTTGTGTGCCTCTGGCTCCAGATTTTATCTGTTTCTGTGCCTTGTGGCGTTGTCCTGTCTCTGGTTGGTGTGCAAGCCAGGAGTATTATTCTTCAAGTACTCGGGCTGCATGTGCCTAGGGTTTCCTTCGCTAGGTGCCCTGTAAGTACTGTCCTTGGGGCTTGGGGCCATCTTCCACAAGTCACCTTGGGGTCTACCTCCGCTGTGCCTTTTACTGCTCGGTGATAGACCGCCCTTGGAGTCAGCTGGGGTGTTTGTTTACCCCTGTTTGCCTCTAGGTAGGGGTAGTTTTCATCACTGGTTGGGGAGCAGGATGCAGCGCAGCATGTTATCACCCCTCATAGTGGCTGACTGTTCTGCCTGGGCACATTGTCCTCTTGCGAGGTTTTCTTTTTCTTTTTTTTCTTTGCCTGGTGGAGGGTCTGCCTCTTGGTTGGTCAGACCCTATTGTTCTTGGGGGTACCTCCACTAGGCTCCCCCCCAAAAAATGTAATTCTTTACAAAGAATTCAGGCATGATTGTCACTAGGCGGGAGGCACTGGTAAACTGAGGCGCGATCGCTGTGCCATACGTGTATCAACAAACTCGTTTCCCGAGGCAAAGTTCATAACCCGATTCAAATTTTCCAAAGAAATTTGGCTCGTAACGAGAAAAGTTCATAAATAGGGGCATTCGTAAGCCGAGGTGTCACTGTACTCCAGTTCACCCACTGATCATGATATGCGGGTGCAGATAGCTGAGACATTGCATGCTTGGTTTAGGTTGCTGCAATGTGATTGGTTTCTTCCCCGGATGCCCTGAGACTGCCCCGTTTTGGTTATAGGGACCCAGACTTGGGGGTGGGAGTCGCTTCAATCTTGGTTCCATCCGTCCCCCCCTTGTCTTTTCCCTTCGTTTGTTCGTCTGGTTCCTCCCTCCCTGGCTTCTGGCTCCGGAATGTCTGAGGGTTTTGGAGTTGGGGCGGGGTCTAGTTGGTGTTGAGACTCGGGCGGTCTCGGGAATACCCCTTCCTGGGTGGCGGCAAAGGCATTCGAGCCTGGTCCTCCAGCTGGAGCTTATGGGTCTGACCAGTGGGCCCCCCTTCATTCCTGCTTTTTGGCTGCTCCTGCCTTTTCTTTAGAGGCGGGGGATTTGGAGGATGGCTCGGCCCGGGATCCTTGGGGTGAGGTTCCTGGGCTGGAGGAGGGGTTGACTTGAGGGTCTTAGGCCCCGTTGGATCCCGCCTGGGTTTTTGTACCCTTGGAGTTGGGCTTGGTGTTACAAGGAGAGTGGTTATCTTTCACTCCCTCCTCGTACAAAGCCCTTGCGGCTTACCTCCTGCATGACCTGGATTATGCTTTCATAATGAATCCGCGTTCCTTCGTGTCTGGATCTTCGTGTCCTTACTGGGTTCCCTTATGAAGTTCCGAATTCGTTCTGGTTAGCAGACTGCCCTCTCCTCTCTTTGGAGGCTTGATATTCTGTTGATCCTGCATGCTTGAGTGGAGGGAGACTCAGACGGCGTTGCAGGTTTTCCTGGCGGGCGAATTTGAGCATCTCAATGTGTGCTTGTTCGCCCCTGTCCTTCCGTGGGATGTTGGTGTGATGCAGCTTCATGTGCAGGTTCCTTCCCTTTTGGCTGCATTAGTCATGAAGGATTTGTGCACGCGTGGCCTGCTGGCTTTGGCCCCTGAGTTTCTTCTCCCTCCTTGAGCTGTCCTCAGACTAGCTTGAGGTGGATGTGGAGGCACTTGGGGCCACGGTGCATTGCCCGCAGTGGCGCATGAATTGTCTGCATTGTGGAAGCTCTTCACTCTGCTCCTGCGGGATGCGGTTTGCATTTTTTTTGCTTCTCGACTTGCATTTCGGCATGCGGTGCTCGCTTCTTCCTTGGAAATCCACTTGGGCGCTGCCTCTTAGGCTGTCTTCGTCCCTTTGTCTGTTGCTGTTTGCTGAGTCTGTGGTTGTGCAGTATCTGCAGGCAGCTTCGGCTAGTTGCTGTCCTGTGTCAGATTTATTAGTCGTCTGGGGGGCTCGTGGGGAGGCCTTCCAAGCATGGTCGTGCCAGGGCTCAGGGTTCTTCCTGTCGTGGTAGACTAGTGGTGCCAGATTCGATGCTGACGCCCCTCCTTTCGGATTTATTGCCCCTCCTTTAGGATTAGTACTCTATCCCAGGTCCATCTTCTGTTGGAGCCGGGTGCTTGGATGGTATCCCTGAACCTCAAGGACGCGTATTGGCACGTCCCAATTCATCCGAGGTTCAGGGACTGGCTTAGTTTTGTTGTGGGGCGGGAAAGTTACCTCTTTCGTTGCCTTCCATTCGGTTTGAATCTGGCTCCTCGCGTTTTCACATGCCTTACTCGGGTCGTGGTGGCCCACATGCTTCTGTTAGGTGTTCGGGTTCTTGCCTACCCCGACAACTGGCTGGTGTGGGCTCCCAGCCAGTCTGTGTGTCTGCTCGCTAGGGATTTGGTTCTTTCCCAGCTCGCCGGGTTTGGGTTCCTGGTGAACTGATAGAAGTCCCATCTGGTTCCGTCTCAGGTTCAGTCTTGGCTGGGTCTTGTGTGGGACTCTCGGATTGTCTCCTTGTCTCTCCCTCCTGCAGCTCTGGTTCGGCTGCATTCCCGCATGCATCTGTTTTTGAGGTGCTCCTGGGTCATGCGGTGGTTGTTCGAGGGTTTGAGCGGGGGCATGAACTTTTCCATGATAGTCTACCCGCTGGGTTGGGTGTGGCTTCATTGGCTGTTCTGGTTTCTTCGGGAACGTCCTTTCCGCCTTTCTCGCGACTGCTGGGTTCAGCCTCCGGGGGCTTTGCGTCGGTTGCTGCATTGCCAGCTTCCTCTTTGGGTTTTTCAGGGTTCAGTGCATTGGCATCTACCCAAACCCTCGCTCGATGTGTTCATGGATGTGTCGTCTCTGGGCTGTGGCTTTGTGACTAGTGCTCGCTAGGCCAGCCAGGGATGGTTGGGTCCATCTTTCCGTCGGGCTCACAGCACGGTGCAGGAGTTCGCAGCTGTGCGGATGTTGCTCTGAAGGCTTCGGGTCGCTCGCGGATCGACGATCCGGCTCCATTCGGACTGTTCCCTGGTGGTTCATTGCCTGAACCGCGGGGGTTCGATGCCGTACTTGGCACTTTGTATCTGGTCCCTTCGGGTGACTCTTCTGCTGAGTTCTCGAGGTTTGGCTCTCCTGGCGGTTCACACTCGGGAGGTGTCCAGTGTCCTGGTTAACAGCCTGTCCTGGTTCATTCCAATTTCCATGGAATGGATGGTTGACGCCGACTCGTTTAGTTGGTTCTGCCGGACGTTCAGGCCTCTGGAAGTAGATCTCTTCGCGTCGGCGTGGTTGAGGCGTCTCCTGGTATACGTGGGGTCCTTCCCTGACTGTGAGGCTGTCGGGGTCGATGCCTTCAGGCAGGATTGAGCAAGGTGGGGGTTACCTGTACAATTTTCCTGCGGTTCAGCTGTTGCTCCAAGTCCTAGCTTGCTTGAAGACAGGGGAGAGATGTCCTTCTGGCTCCTTGGTGGCGAGCCCAGCCTTCGTTTCAGGAGCTGCTTGCTCGGTGTTCGAACCTGAGGGTCTTCCCGTGGCTCCGCTTCTTTCAGCAGATCGGTCCAGCCAAGTACGAGGCTGGTTGTTCTTCTCCTCGAGTCTTCGCGTCTTGAGTTTCTGACTTAGGTCTATCATCATTTGTATGGAGCACAGGTGGCTTTGTTGGTGGTCTCCCACCTGCGTGCTTCTTCATGGCAGCAGTATGAAGTTTACTGGCAGTCCTTCCGGCTTTTCCTATCACTGTGTAGGTGTACTTCGGTCTCTGATAGGGATGCCTTGTCTTTCCTTTCATGGTTGTTCCAGGACCGTCATCTTATGCTGAATACTATCACCTCGTATCGTGCGGCATTGGGGTTGCCACTGCAGCTTGCATTCAGTTTTGATGTTACGTCTGTTCCGTTCCGCAAGCTGTCTCGTGCGTTGTTACACCTCCGGCCTGTTCACGCCTTCGGTTCAAGATTGTTTTTCTAAGGCTCTATTCCTGTTGGCATTGGCCTCTAGGGATCAGGTCAAGGAGCTTCATGCTCTCCTCTGGGACGGGGGTTTCTGCTCTTTTGGTCCTGGTGGTAGGTTTGTTTGTCTGCAGCCGTCTCCTTCTTTTCTGACGAAGAATGAGTCTGCTGCTTTCCGGAGGGGTCCTTGCGTTGTTCATGCTTGGTTGGTTAGGCCAGGGGGTGCAGCATGTGTTGTGTCCGGTTGCAGCTCTCTGTCCTTATTTTCATGCCATGGCTTAGGTGGCTGGGAATACACTTTGGGTTGACCTGGTTCCCTCCTTACCTGTTCCCTGGCATGGGTCTCCCAGGTCGTCCGCAGGGTCATCAAGTCTAGCCAACCTGCAGTCTATCCTCGTGCCCATGACGTTCGTAAGTTTACTGCTTTGGCTGCCCACTTTGGTAACATGTCTTGGATTGACATTTGGATGTGGGATTTTTGGTGGTCGAATAGGGTCCTGGCTGCTCGCTACCTTGTCAATGTTCCTGGACATCATAGGACCTGTGTAGCATTGGGTCGGCGATTGCAGCCAGTTGTCTCGGCTTTAAGTTGAGGAGCGAGGACTGACCACCTCCCGGATGAGTCCCTGTTTTCTGTTATTTTTGGGTAGTCTGCTTCGGGGAGCAGACGGGGCTCCCTCCAGAAAACCAGCGTTGAATGTAATGAAAAGCCATATTCTGGGTGAGACCCGGAAGCTCCCTGGCACCCACCCTCCCTCCGGTCAGCGGAGTTTTCGCATGTTTTGCCATCCAGCCTCAGAACTGGGGGTGTGGATTGCCAGCGTGAGGGTCTGGGGCTTCCCCTTAGCCCTCCCAGGGGGTGGGGGGAAGGGGGGGGGGGGCTTTGCGCAGACATCAGGGCTGCATCATGATAACGTCATGCTAGTTTGTTAATTTTTTTTAGTGAGTTCTGTCCACTCGTTCATTCTTTCGATAGCAATATTTTCACCAGAATAGGGATTTGTTTTGGAGTGCCTACCTTTCTTGGTGCCAGACCTGGTCAGTGGCAAACATAGAATGCTTCCTACCACATGGGGGTTTCTATAGGCCATTGCTCCTCGTGCCTCTCTGAGGGGGCCAGGTTCTGGCTCATGGTCCCTGGTAGGCAAGAACTCCATTCACGTTGACTGATGCCAGAAAGCTAATGTATCCATATCAGCCTGGATAGCTCCGAGAAGCCTCTGGGTTTCACCCAGAAAATGGCGTTTCATTACATTCAACGCTGGGTTTTTGTGTAATTTCTAAGTTATCTATATCCTGTAGCTGATTTTGTTTGCGAAGTACTGTATCTAATACGGTACTGAATATCAACCATTGTCAGTTGTTAATGTCCAAATGTTCATTCTTTGTTTCAGGCAGTAGTATCATGCAGTAAGAAAAAGTTCCAGTTTACAGTCCAGGGTGATGCCATACAAATTTTGTCTTGGATACTTAATTCAATGCACTTGGGCCTGAAGACTCCCAAACGAAAGAACACCATCATCAATCGCTGCTTCCGTGGAACCATGAATATCTACTCACAAAAGGTAGTACAGTGTAGTACTTTTAATTCATAAGAAATAATTTTCTGGGGGGAGCCCCTACGACTTTGTCCCTTCCCCTTTGTCAGACTTTGCCATCAGTCATGTGTATGGAGTTCTGTGGGCCTACTGGGGACCACGAGCAGAACCTGGCCCCCTCAGAGAGGCATGGGGAGCAATGGCCTATAGAAACCCCCATGTGGTTGGAAGCATTCTATGTCTGCCATTGACTAGGCCAGGCACCCAGAAAGGTAAGCGTCCCAAAACAAACTATTCTGGTGAAAATTGCTACAAAAAGCCGAACAAGAGGACAGAACCCCTCTAAAAGAAACGCGCATGACGTCATACGTCGCCGCACTGCTGTCTTATGTAGTTACCCACTCTCTGGGAGGGGGAAGGGGAAGCCCCAGACCCTCACACCGGCCATCCACCCCTAAGTTCTAAGGCTGATGCAAGAGGCAGAGGTCGTGTGCTCTGGCTCCAGTGTTTTTCCAGCACTGTACTTTGTGTGTGGTGGCTGTCTTCCAGGGGTGGGCGAGCCAGAAGTTATTCTATGCTGCTGCATTCCCTTCCCTAGGTGCCCTGTAAGTACTGCCCTTGGGGCTTGGGGCCACTACCACAAGTTCCTTGGGTCCTGCCTATGCTGGGCCGTTCAGCCGACTGTGCTGCTGCCTGCGCAACGCCCCTTCCCCTCCTTCTTTGGGAGAGGAAAGGGGAAGCCCCAGACTCTGGCACCAGCTATCCACCCTGCAGTTCTGTGATTGATGTGGAACTGGCAGTCGTGTGCCGTTAGCTTCAGCATTTTCCAGTTCTCTGTCTTGTGGTGTGGTGCTGTCTCTTCAGCAGTGGTGTGTGAGCCAGGAGTAATTTCTCCAGTACCTGGGCTGCATACACCTAAGGGTTTCCTTTCCTAGGTGCCCTGTAAGTACTGTCATTGGGGACTTGGGGGTTATCTTCCTCAAGTCACCTTGGGGTTTACCTCCGCTGTGTCTTCTGCTGCTTGATGATTGACCGCCCTTGGAGTTGGCTGGGGTGTTTCTTGCTTCCCTGTTTGCCTCTGGGTAGGGGTAGTTTTTGTCACTGGTTGGGGCGCTGGGTACTGTGCAGCTAGTTGTGACCACTATCCATACGGGGCATAACTGGCCGACCTCTCACACTGGCCGAGTTTGAAGGTTGCTCTGTCCCCTTGTCTCAGGGTGACACTCACCATTTGTGCCTCCATCATGCAGCCTGTTGGGTCAGTGACACTTTTGACCCAGAGTCTTGCGAGTTTTGTTCCTTGTTCTTGGTACAGTTCACCCAGTCCACTGATCATGACATGCGGGTGCGAGCTGCTTCGGCATTGCATGCTTGATTTAGGTTGCTGAAATGCGCTAGGTTAGTTGCTTCCTCAGATGCCCTGAGACAGCCCCGTTTTGGTTATATGGACCCGAACTTAGGGATGTTAGTTGCGTTGACTTTGGTTTTGTCCACACCCCCTTGTCCTTCCCCTTCTGTTGTTCGTCTTGGTTCTCCCACCTTGCATCCAGCTCAGAAGTGTCTGAGGGTTTCAGAGTCGGGGCAGGGTTTAGTTGGCTTTGAAACTTGGGCGGTTTCGGGAAATGCCCCTTCCAGGGTGGCGACAGAGGCCTTCGAGCCTGGTCCTCCAGCTGGAACTTCTGGGTCTGACTAGTGGGCCTCCTTATTCCTGTTTTTTTGGCTGCTCCTGCCTTTTTTCTTTTGAGGCGGAGAGGTTTGGAGGATGGCTCGGCCCCGGGTCCACGTGGTGAGGTTCCCGGGGCAGGGGAGAGGTTGACTTGAGGGCCTTGGGCGCTGTTGGACCCCGCTTGGATTTATGTACCCTCTGAGCAGGGCTTGGCTTTACGAGGAGTGGGGATCTCTTTTTCCCCGTCCTCATACGGGTTGGATTTGGTGTCTACCCCTTCCCGGGTTCGGTTCCGTGATCCCGTGGGTTGTTCGGTCCCGTCCTTCTGGAGGATTTCGGCCTCCTGCATCCCACCCCATGTGGTGTGGGAGGCCATTGCGGCTTACCTCCTGCACGACCCGGTTTACAGTCTCGCTGGTTTTTGCTTCCCGTCTCACGTGTCAGCAGGCAGTGCTTGCTTCCTCTGTGGAATCTGCTTGAGCCCTGGTTCTTAGGATTTCTTTGCCTTTTTGCCCGTTGCAGTTTGCAGAGTCTGCGGTTGTGCAGCATCTGCAGGTGGCTTCTTCTAGTTGCCGTCCCATGTCAGATTTGTTGGTTCTCTGGGGGGCTTGGGGGGGGGGGGGTCTTCCCAGAAGGGTCGTGCCAGGGCTCGGGGTTCCTTCCGTCATGGGTGGTCAGTGGTGCCAGTTTCGTGGCAACAATGTGATCGCTAAGTATGGAGGCCACGTTCTCGTCAAGGGTGTCGGCCGTTTTGAGGCTCATTCCATTGATGGGACGATTGGGTTAAGGCTAGCTCTGTTAGCTCACGCCTGGTCTCATGATTTGTGGGCCGTTCGTGTTATTTCGTGCAACCTGCAGTGGAGTTGGGTGGCCCCTCCTCCTTTGGGAAGTTCGGGGTTGGCAAGGCAGGCCTCTTCTCCTGCACTCTGTCGAGTCATCTTGGAGTGAATTTGCTTGGGCATGGTCGAAACGACCTCGTCCCTCAAAGTGGGTTTCTCGCTGGAGAAACCCACTGTTTCTGTTTCCCGAAACAGGACTGCTCGGACCTCAGGTTCATTCTGGACTTGTCCTGTCTGAACCCATGGGTTTATTGCCCCCTCCTTTCGGATGACTATTCTGTCCCAGGTTTGTCTTCTCTTGAAGATGGGCGCTTGGATGGTGTTCATGGACCTCAAAGACGCGTATTGGCATGTCCCGATTCATCCGGGGTTCAGGGACTGGCTCTGTGTTGTTGTGTTTGTTGTGTGTTGCTCAGGATTACCACTTTCGTTGCATTCCGTTTGGCTTGAACCTGGTACCTCGTGTTTTCACACTCATTACCTAGGTCGTGGTGGCCTGTCTGCATCTCTTAGGGTTTCTGGTTCTGGCCTATCTTGACGACTGGCTGGTGTGGGTTCCCAGCCGGTCCACGTGTCTGCTCGCCAGGGATTTGTTTTTTTCTCAGCTCACCGGGTTCGGGTTCTTGGTGAACTGGCGGAAGTCCCATCTGGTTCCCTCCCAGGTTCGGTCTTAGTGAGATCTTGTGTGGGACATTCAGACTTCTTTCTTGTCTCTCCCTCCAGAGGCTCTGCTTCGGCTGCAGTCCCGCCTTCGCTTGTTTCTGGGGGGGCTCCCAGGTCACATGGCAGTTGCTTGAGGGTTTGTGTGGGAGCCTGAACTTTGCCGTGATGGTCTACCCACCGGGTCGGGTTTGGCTTCGTTGTCTGTTCTGGTTCCTCTAGGGATGTTCCTTCCGCCTCTCACGATCGCTGGGTTCGGCCTCAAGGGCCCATGCGTCAGTTGCTGTGTCACTGGCTTCCTTTTCAGGTTTTTCGGGGTTCATTTCCTTGGCACCTACCCGAGCCTTTGCTTGATGTGTTCACGGATGTGTCATCTCATGGCTGGGGCTTTGTGACGAGTGCTCACCAGGCCAGCCAGGAACGGTAGGGTCCATCCTTCCGTCGGGCTCACAGCACAGTGCGGGAGTTTGCGGCTGTGTGGATGTCGCTTCAGAGGTGCGCTTGCAAATTGGCGCTCCAGGTCCATTCAGATTGTTAACTGTGGTTCATTGCCTGAACTGTGAGGGTTCGGTGAGGTCCTTGGCTCTTTGTCCCCCCCCTCCCTGGGTTCCACTGTTGCTCAAGATTCTAGCTCGCTTGGAGACTTACTAGGGAAGAGTCATCCTTTTGACTCCTTGGTGGAGCCAGAAGACGTTTTAGGGGCGGCTTGTGCCTAAAAATCCAAGCTGCTTAAAACCCAGCCTTGGTTTTAGGCACTGCTTGCCCGGTGTCTGAACCTGGTTTTTTTTCCGCGGCTCCGCCTCTTTCAGCTGATCGGGCCAGTCTGTTACGTGGCTGGTTCTCTCTTCTCCTCAAGTCTTCGTGTATAGTCTTTCTGACGTGGGTCTATCACCACTTGTATGGTGAGTAGGTGGCTTCTTTGATGGTTTCCCCACCTGCGTGCTTCGTCTCGGTGGCAGTATGAAGTTTCTTGGCAGTCCTTCCATTATTTCTTATCCCATCGCGGTAGGTTTACTTCTGTTTCTGATAGGGTTGTCTTGTCCTTTCTTTCATGGTTGTTCCAGGACCTTCATCTTATGCCAAAAACTGTCACCTCGTATAGTGTGGTGCTGGTGGAGCCATGCCAGTTTGTCTTCGGCATTGATGTAATAGGGGAATGTAGATCAAGAAATTAGTAATAGAGAAAGTGAATACTATTGCAAGTCGGAAATAAAGCCGAAAATCCCTTATTGTAAACAAATCCACAAGGGCCGTGACGGGGATTCGAACCTGCGTCCGGGAGCATCCCTTATTGTAATACAGGCGAATTAATATATCAGTGTTATAACTCAAGTAACTGGCAACTGACGGCCTCCAGCCGCGGCCTGGGATAACAACGTGTCAACTATATAGCCTCTGGGACCCTCACCCTCGACCGTGCGATAAGTACTGACCATACAGTAGAACAAATAAACATATATATTATTACAAATATACGGTATACATATAATATTATAAATATACATATATATACTGTACAACAAAACAAGGCAAAATGTGTGGGAACCGACCTGTGAGATTTATATTTATTTAATTTATATGAATTTATATAGAATTTATATTTACGTTAATTTGTATACTTCGATAGCAATTTGTATGATGATAAGTGGACTGTATTTCTGCAATAATCTCACAAATCGATCCTCTACACATTAGGGGGGGGTTTATATTAAATTTATATATATGCAGCCAATCAAACTACAGTATTAACTACACATTAGTGTACATTGAAGAGGTTCCTTATCTTACTGTACAGCAGGCCTTAGTCCACCAGGTATAACCAGGATGTAGACACCAAATTATCCTCTTTGAGGTAGCTTCCA